GCTGAATTGCAGTCATTCTTACTCCATAAAATCAGTGCAAGATGCTATAGAGATATTGCTTCCTTAAAAAAAACAAAAAAACAATACACACATTAATAGTATAGAAGTTTCACATTTTGTTGTGGGTTTTTTTTTTTGTTTTTTTGTTTTGTTCTCTAGTGGTTTTTTTAGAGTCTTAAGACCCTCCCTTCAGCCTAAGAAGGAAAACAGACACATGCTACTACCTAAGAGATTAATTAACCCCCACCCGTTATACATCCCAACCCCTACCGGCCCGAAACCCTTGGCCTAAGCGAGCCGGTCAGTTGATCAAACTCTTTTGTTTTAAGAGCTTCGAGAGACACGATGGGCTGTGTGCTAAGTTCTTTCCTTGCAGATCTGAACCACCACCTGGCGGTTGGCAGACGGTCTGAAAGGAACCATGTTCCCTTTGAGAGTCATCAAAATATTGCAGAAGTCCATAACTCAGTGCTGAAGAGTCGAAGGGGGTGGGGGGTTTGTTTTAATGCAGCATAGGAAAATCTGTGCCAGAGGGACAGACAAGGACCTGGCCAAGCCCTCAAGAGAAGCACTTGGCTGGAGAGTTTCCTCTCTTTAGTTACTTTCCCAGCTTCTTCGAGTCTCAAGTTGTGAGGAGGACACCAAATGCGCCAGCCAGCAACAATACTTGCCCCCCCCCCGTATGTGGGGCTTCTCCTCCCCAACTTCAAGAAACTTTAGGTCACCAACTCCACTGCCAACCAGCCTAGTTCAACCAACACAATGCCTGGGTTAGACGTCCCCCAGTAACGTCACCCTATTTTGTACACCTTGGTGGGGTCTTCCGTGAAGAGGTAGGCTTTGACCTCACAACCGAATGACAGAACCAGGAACAATCACCCGCCAGACAAGCCAACAATCTGAGATCCCCACTCAAGCTAACTCTTCCAGTCCCTTTTGGACCACCACCACCATCACGAGAAGGAACGCACGAAGAGCAAGCTACCGCAAACACTGCAATAACATGTGGTTGATTTGTTCAGCCTTGCTGGCCAACCCTAGACTCTGATCATCCTCGGGGGGTGGGGGGGAGAACCCAGCACGATCGAGAAAATCTTGGTTAAAATGCTGGCCACCTTCCAAAAGCAGACAAGCTGGCAAGCTCCCTATGGACAGAGAGAACGTCACGAGCCCGATATGTAAACATTGCAGGGAGATACCCTGTTTTTTTTTTAAATTTATTTATTCATTCCTTTGTTCATCCATTGCACCCTCTTGAGGGTGAGAGATGGACAGGAGGAGATAACCCAGCGGTCACCCCGCGGCAGCTAACCAAACAAGAAGAAGATCAAGAGAGAGACGCAGAGTCCTACTGAGAGGAAAGCCACCACTTGGGTGGCGGGACCTGTTCTTGATGTGGCCTTCATGGCTACTCAACGTTTACACTGAGAACAGGAAGCCCTGATCAAACTATATGTTTTTTTAAAAAAAAAAATACATGAAGATTAGAACATTCTCACTGGAGCATTCATGAATGAAGGGAGCAGATGAGTAAAGGCCATCTCACCATGGTGGGTTAGTAATACTGCTGGTTTATACCACAGCAAGTTCTCAACCTTGCAGCTTGAAATGGTGTGGACTTCAACTCCCAAAATTCTGTTGGGAGACTGAAACCTCCTGAGATACAATAGCTTTGCTGGTTGGGGAATTCTGGGAGGTGACGTCCACACCTCCTCAAGCTGCCAAGGTTGAGGAACACCATACCAGAATAAGTGACTCAACAGAGAAGAAGAAAGCCAGAAAGAAAATATCTGGGCTTGAAGAGAAGCTCGACAACCCATAATACTGACAACTTCCCCTTCTTCACTGGGTGCATCTGACCGGTCCCCTGAGGCAACATGAGCTTTCATTGCCACGTTGTTCCTTCCAGATTTCCCACAACTGCTGTTAAGAGTTGTAGCTAAAATCTGGGGTTTGAGCCTTTCCAGGTTTAGATGGCACCTCCTGAAACATCTGGGAAGGTCCTTCTGTGACCCAAACACAACTAGATATGAGATTAGAGGAGACGCACCTCACTTGGGAAGGAAGACCCAACTAATCGCAGATGGACCACAGGAAGGAGAAGGCATCCACACCCTGACTCCACGAGTCCGACTTTCATCACACAAGAAGTACCTGACCATCTCCTTCCAGGATACGGAGGTCCAACATGTTGTGTCTCAGGAAGTCCAACATGTTGTGTCTCAGAAGGTCCAACATGTTGTGTCTCAGGAGGTCCAACATGTTGTGTCTCAGGAGGTCCAACATGTTGTGTCTCAGGGAGTTAGTTCAACATGTTGTATCTCAGGAGGTCCAACCTTCTTTGCAATGGGAGACACTCATCCCAAACCACAGG